CAAAGAGTAGGAATAAATGGTCAGTTTTCAGAATGGAGAGAGGTAAATAGTGGTGTCCACCAGGGATCTGTACTGGGCCCAGTCCTATTTAACGTATTCATAAATGATCTGGAAAAAGGGGTAAACAGTGAGGTGGCAAAATTTGCAGATGATACAAAACTACTCAAGATAGTTAAGTCCCAGGCAGACTGTGAAGAGCTACCAAAGGATCTCATGAAACTGAGTGACTGGGCAACAAAATGGCAGATGAAATTTAATGTTGATAAATGCAAAGTAATGCACATTGGAAAACAGAATCCTAACTATACATATACAATGATGGGGTCTAAATTAGCTGTTACCACTCAAGAAAGAGATCTTGGAATCATTGTAGATCGCTCTCTGAAATCATCCACTCAATGTGCAGCAGCAGTCAAAAAAGCGAAGAGAATGTTGGGAATCATCAAGAAAGGGATAGATAAAAAAGACAGAAAATATCCTATTGCCTCTGTATAAATCCATGGTGCGCCCACATCTTGAAGAGTGCGTGCAGATGTGGTCACCCCATCTCAGAAAAGATATATGGTAATTGGAAAAGGTTCAGAAAAGGGCAACAAAAATGATTAGGGGTATAGAACGGCTTCCGTATGAGGAGAGATTAATAAGACTGGGACTTTTCAGCTTGGAAAAGAGGCAACTAAGCAGGGATATGATAGAGGGTGTAGCGGGGTGGACACCCACTCCTGCCTGGAAGGGCCTGAAATAGCCCTGGGAGAAGGCTGGGGCAGGGAAAGTTGGGCTGATTGGGGAAACAGCCTCAGTTGTGGCCCCGCCCCAAACAGACCCAGCTGGCTCTATAAAGGCCAGGGCAGGCAGAAGCTAAGGGCCTGGCTGCAGGGAGCTGAGATAGAGTACCTGGGTGGAGCAGGGCTGGGCAAAGGCTGAGGAGCTGGGGAGCTCCAGCCTGGAAAGCCCCAGGCTGAGGCCTAGCAGAAGGCTAAGAGGTACTGGGGGGTTGCACAGGGCAACCCAGGGGTAGGCCAAGGCAGCAGGTCCAAACCCAACCCTGCCAGTGATGAGTAGGCTGATACTGCAGTCTGCCCCTGGGTGTAGGGCTAGATGAAGACTAGCAGTAGCCTGATACTGAGGCAAGGTGGGGATAGTGGTTGGGGGTTCCCCTGGGAGGGGGAGACCCAGTTAAAGGAGCACTGGGGTCCTGGGAGGGACACGGAGGCCAGTAGCAGTAAGGCGGTCACTGGCCTGCAGGCAGCACTCTGGGCTGGATTGAGCTAATTCCCAGGATAACCAGCAGGAGGCACCGCAAGGGTGAGTCCAACACCTTACAATGTCTATAAAGTCATGAGTGGTATAGTAAAAGTAAACAAGGAAGTGTTATTTACTCCTTCTCATAATACAAGAACACGGGCCACCAAATGAAATTAATAGGTAGCAGGTTTAAAACAAACACAAGAAAGTATTTTTTTTTACGCAAAGCACTGTTAACCTCTGGAACTACTTGCCAGAGGATGTTGCGAAGGCCAAGACTATAACAGGGTTCAAAAGGGAGCCAGATAGGTCCATCAATGGTTATTAGCCAGGATGGGCAGGAATAGTGTCCCTAGTCTCTGTTTGCCAGAAGCTGGGATTGGGTGACAGGGCATGGATCGCTTGATGATAACCTGTCTGTTCATTCCCTTGGGGCACCTGCCATTGGCCACTCTCAGAGGACAGAACACTGGGCTTGATTGATCTTTGGTCTGACCCAGTATGGCCGTTCTTATGGTCTTATGTTTCATGCTGATTCCCTGAACCCAATTATCTATAGAAAGCGGCTTCCCAGATATTCCGGCTCAGTGGAGCTGTTACCCTAGAGCACTTTACACAGCCATGTGTCATGGCACGACCCCCGGTAACCTCCTCCAATAAAACAGCCCCAACGAGTCAGGAATAAGGAGGCCTCCTCTTGTCAGGACCATCAGGAGCCAGAAAGGCAGCACGGTCCAAATGCCCGGCAGGAGATGGTGCCTTCTATATGCGACTCTGATAGCCCAGATACGGAGCAAAGCGAGGGGATCTCCCTCCACGCACCTGTTTATGTTGCAGGGTGAAGTGTGCGGGTTTGGAGAGGTGAATGTGTCTCCCGTCTCCGAGGGCCCCACTCACCACCCTGGAGTTGAGATGACTCTTCTCCAGCTTCCCACCAGCCGGTAGATTTCCCTCGCTGGGACGTCTCGCACTGATGATGGAGTCCAGGTTGGAGTAGGAAATAAAAGCAGCAGCCCCCAAACCTGCTGGGAGAGGAGATGATCCCTCGTTAGGGAGCTGGGGACGCTATGGCAAAGAAGGAACCGGCCGGGTGCCCACGAGTCACAGTGAGTCTCTGGCAGATCTGGGAATGGAACCCAGGATCCTGGCCACAACTCTTAAGGTTTAACCACTGGACTGTGCTACCTCCTCCCCCGGAACCCCCAGGAACGCGCCCGGCTGGAAACGTCGAGCTGCAGGATGCAGAGATGAAGATTCAGTTTTTCTCAGTGAGACCAGGAGAGGGGCTGGCCAGGGATGAGCTTCCCCTGGGGATGGAGGATTCGGGGCCCTGAATATGGCAGCTGAGGGTACACGTTACCCTGGTCCCCACATCTCCATTTGGGGGTCTGGCTAGACCAGGCCGTCCCTGCCCTTTCCATTCTCTGGGCCCACTTCATACCAGAGACCCTCTCATGAGCAGACTCCCCTCTGCGCCCAACTCCTCACTGCTCGGGGCTCAAGCTGTGGGACAGGCAGGAACGAAGGTGTCAGCTCCATGGCCACAGCCTGAGAACCACTGGCTCAGCCAGCAAGGAGCCCTCCAGGGTTAGAGACAGAGGCCAGGGCCCGGCCTGGGGATCGACGGGGAGGGAGGGAGGAACGGGGGAACCCAGACTGGGGTTCAGTGCCCAGGAACCGCTCTGTGCAGTGGCTTGGGCTCTGGGTGTCTCCATCCCCAGGATGCTACCTCGTGTGGCTGCCCCGGTGACTGTATCACAGTGCACGTCCATCATCTCATTGTGAGCTTTCAGTGTGAAGACTTCACTGTGCTGGCTGCAGTTCCCTGTGATGAGTCGTGTCTGGACAGCTGTGGGGAGGTGCGGGTGAGGAATGACAGAGCCCCTCACTGTGAAACCCCTTCCCTGGGAATCTGTCCATTCTGGGCTAGATCCACCCCCCTCCCACTCCACTAGGAGCCAGGGGGCTTCAGGGCACTTCGCACTGTGGGAGGGGGAAGTTTGGAGCTCCCCCACCCCGAGTTCCATTGATCAGCCCCCCATATCCCCTCCCCGTTCTGGCTGTGTCTCCCTGGGGATGCTTTGTTCCCAGCAGGGGGAGTCATGGGGTAGGGGGAGGTGTCTGGCTCAGTATCGCAGCCCCTAGTGGTGGAATGCCAAATATTACATGACAGTGCTGTTGTTCCTGGGGGCACTGGCGGGGCTGGGTTATATTTCCTGGTGCAGGGGCAGTGCTGGTCTGTGTCTGTACTGAACACAGGCTCACATCCACAATGGTATATAGGCTCTAACTTCCAGTGGATTTGGGGCACAGTGTGTAACCCCGTATCTCATGGCAGGTGGCCCTGAGAGCCACACGTCCCCCCTCACCCATAGATGGTGTCATCATGTTCTGTGTTGTCTTCTCCGGAGACTGGAGTGCAATAGCCAGCGTGGACAGTTCCATTGTCTCCAGGACTAACGTTACAGCCGTCACAACCTCCCCCTCGCCTCCCTCATCCCAGAGGGAGGTGCTGTTCAGGACAGAGTTGAAAGAGTCACTCGCATTCTGGGGACAGGAAAGGAAAAGCAATGGGAGTGAGAAGTCCGGGGGTTCAGGTGCCACGTCCTGTGTGTTCCCAGCGGGCATTGGGCATCACAGCCTCTCCCAGTTCAGGGGGCTGCACTGCTCTCAGAGGGGGAGCCCATTACAAAGGGGGTCCACTGAGGCTGACTCAGGGCTCCAATGGGACCTTAAGCCACCTGGGGCTGAAACCCTTTGTCCTTCCTTCTTCGCTCCTGCTCCCCCATCCCTCCATTACAGATGCCAGGGAACAACATTGTCACAAGCCCATGGCTTCCTAGGCTGTCTCTATGCTCCATCCGGCAGCTGCTCAGAAATGTTTGGCAGGGCAGGAATACAGCCCAGATCCTGCTGCCTGAAAAACTCAGGTCACTGACAGATGAGCTGAGGAGAATCCCCATTAACTGTTAGCAGTATAGCACCTCTGATGAACAACAACAGTTCTGAACACTAGAGGGCCAATGTGGGTGAACAAACACAAAGGTGCACTAACACCACTACAGGGCATGTGTGCGCAGATACAGACAAACACCACTAGAGGGTGCACCCCCCTCCCCACAGCAGTGGAGGGCACAGATCTTTTCTGAAGAGTATCTACATGTCTCCCTCCCCCCCAGTGAGACTCCTAACCCAGCACAGCACCACACAGGGCTCTGGGGCACACACAGGGGCACTAGTCTGCAGGGCACATTCAAGGGGCGGAAGCTCTCACCTCCAGTGATAACTCCGTACCCTCGTCTCCAAGCACGGACATCAAAATGTTTAAGGTCGAATTAAAGAAAGAGGAAAAACTGCTGCTTTCGCCGCTCCGCTTTCCCTGCAGAGAGACCCAGGGCAGAGGGTGAGTTCTGCAGGTGCTGAAGGGTGACCGACATTGGTATTTGCCTAATGCCTGATCCTGACACCCCTCATTGAGTGAATAAAGCTTTTATATCAGATGTGTCCAGGACATGTACGATGGTGCTGTTGCCACAGCCCGAGGTTCATGTGTCGAAAGGGAACAGTTTCTAGTAACAGCTGGAATAGATCAAGGCTTGGGACTAAACCCCTTTTTGTTCACGTCGGTGCTGGAGGCATTGACAGAAAGCAGCCAGAGAGTGGCCCCTGGCACATGCCCTTTGCAGATGATGTAGTGCTCGTGGGGGAGAGGAAAGAGGAAGTGAAGGAAGATGCAGAGAGTCATGGAGATGCATATTGGAAAGAAACGGCCTGAAAATCAGCAGAAGAAATCAGAGTATATGGTCTGTAGATTCAATGCTCTCCTGCAGGAAGACAATGGGCGTGTAAGTCTGGGACCAGCCTCTAGCAAAGCTACAGAAGTTTTAGAAGGTTCGATATCAATTTGCAAACCCCTAGAAGATAATAAGGTGATTAGTAACAGTCAGCATGGATTTGTCAAGAACAAAACCTGTCAAATCAACCTGATAGCTTTCTTTGGCAGGGTAACAAGCCTTGTGGATAGTGGGGAAGCGGTAGACATGGTATATCTTGACGTTAGTGAGGCTTTTGACACTGTCTCACGTAACCTCATAAAAAAACTAGGGAAATACAACCTGTATGGAGCCACTCTAAGGTGGGTGCATAACTAGTTGGAAAACCGTTCCCAGAGAGTACTTATCAGTGGTTCACAGTCAAGCTGGAAGGGCATATCGAGTGGGGGTCCTGCAGGGATCAGATCTGGGTCTGGGTCTATTCAATATCTTCTTCAATGATTTAGATAATCACATACAGAGGACACTTATAAAGTTTGTGGATGATACCATACTGGGAGGGGCTGCAAGTGCTTTGGAGGATCGGATTAAAATTCAAAATGATCTTGACAAACTGGAGAAATGGTCTGAAGTAAATAGGATGAAATTCAAGAAGGACAAATGCGAAGTTCTCCATTTAGGAAGGAACAATCAGTTGCACACACACAAACTGGGAAATGAATGTCTAGGAAGGAGTATTGCAGAAAAGGATCTGGGGGGTCATAATGGACCACAAGCTAAATATGAGTCAACAGTGTAAAGCTGTTGAAAAAAAAAGCAAATCTCATTCTGGGATGTATTAGCAGGAGTGTTGTAAGCAAGACACGAGAAGTAATTCTATCACTCTATTCTGCTCTGATTAGGCCTCAACTGGAGTATTGTGTCCAGTTCTGGCACCACATTTCAGGGAGGATGTGGACAAGTTGCTGAAAGTCCAGAGAAGAGCAACAAAAATGATTAACTGTCTAGAAAACATGACCTATGAGAGAAGAATTGAAAAAAATGGGTTTGTTTAGTCTGGAGAAAAGAAGATTGAGAAGGGACATGATAACCGTTTTCAAATAGAGGAAGGAGGAGGGAGAAGAATTGTTCTCCTTAACCTCTGATGATAGGACAAGAAGCAATGGGCTTAATTTGCAGCAAGGGCAGTTTAAATTGAACATTAGGAAAAGTTTCCTGTCAGGATAATTAAGAACTGGAATAAATTGCCTAGGGCGGTTGTGGAATCTCCATCATTGGAGATTTTTAAGAGCAGGTTGGACAAAGACCTGTCAGGGATGGTCTAGATAATACTTATTCCTGCCATCACTGCAGGGAACTGGACTAGATGGCCTCTCAAGGTCCCTTCCATTCCTACAATTCCATGATAGTACAGGAAAACGATGAACTCAACCAAAAACTTATAAGCAGACTGGGAAAGTCATGGAGTGAAGGGAGAGAAGCAAGGGAGTGCTCTGCCATAGGAGAACACCTGTCAAACAGAAAAGTAAGATCTAGAAGATGGTGATCAGGCCTGCACTTTTGTATGGCTCTGAAAGCTGGGGACTGGAGAAGAGCCAGGAGCTATTCATGAAGACAGAGGAAGTGAAAATGTTAAGATGGATGATTGGAGTTACAATGACGGACCATGTTCAAAATGAGGGAATTAGGGGAAGAGTGAAAGTAGGACCAATGATAGAAAAGCTGAGGGAACCAGGCTCAGATGGCATGGGCCTGTGACAAGAAGGTCAGAAGAACAAACAGGAAACAAGGTACTATATTTAGATGCAGAAGATAAGAGAATTGGGAGACCCCAAACTAGATGGGTGGCTGTCATACAAAAGGATTTGATGAGCTGTGGAGTTTCCAAGGAACTGCTTCAAGAGAAACTGGAATGGAGAAGGACTTGAACAGCTGATCACATGTAGTTGGGACCAGCCTAGAAAGATGAGGAGGATCGAGTCCCAGTGATGAAAGGAAGAAACACAGTATTGCCCTGATCTTGTATAGGGTTTACATGGGTCACAGTAATACCAACAGCAAAGTTTTTTGTCTGGGAATTTCCATATTGGTGGTGCAAAACACAGGGCAAAAACCCCAACAAATGAATGATGGGTTCAAACATACCGGCAGAGAGAAGTTCTTGAACGTCTCTTTGATTCCCTCGAACTGAGCGCTGGAGTTAAAGCTTGGGACTTGGAGCGATGGGAAGAGAGGAACAGACGTTAGAGCTTTCATATCAGATTTTCATATCAACTCACTCCTCCCTGGGGGGAAATCCCCTTCTCTTTCCAGCCCTGATGGCTGCTTTCTGTCCACGTGCCAGTCCTGTGCTGCTAATAGTTTAACATGCGGCTGCTACAAACTCCCTCCCTTCCTCCCCATCTCACTCTGTCTCTCTCTCCCCTCCATTTATACTCCGCTTTGCCTCTCCCTCCTTCTCCTGTGGTTTAGTTCTGGACTCAGCTCCCAGGGGAAGGGATTTGGCTGGCTGGGCAGGCAGACTTGTAACTTCTGTCGTTGTTGCACTGGGCTCTCTCTGTCTGCCACCCCCCAACTCCATACCTGAAGCAGCAGGCCTGGAAGGGGGGTGAAGAACCCCTCAGGCTGCAGGAGGAGCTGAAGTGCCCGGGGGTGGGTTTAGAGGCAGATGTGTGGCCTGCAGGGAGCAGAACTGATTGCTGGGCTGGGTGGGGGGCACAGAATGAATTAACCAGACTGTGGGGGAGTTGGTAGAGAAGCTGGAGGCTCCACGTCATCAGGAACCAGAGAGCTCCTGCCGTGTGGACAGAACCACTGTATCCTACCCAGGGAAAAGGGGCAGTGCGGGAACGGCCACCAGCACATGGGGGGTGGTGGCTTCATACCTCAAAATACAGACCCGACACCATGAGATCATCTTTTTCAAAGGAAAAAATCCCGCAGTTTTGGGGCCAAACAACTGATTTTGGGGGTCTGACTTGTGATCTCTGTACTCCTGTGGTTGGTGACTCTGAGATTCCCACCCAGAGGGCTTGGCCAGCGTCCTCTCTGCTCCCTGCCAGCCAGCCCCTGCCTCTACAGACCCTCCCACAGTCCGTGAGCAGGAGCTGGGCCCGCTCTGAGTTCACATTGGAGGAGAGGGGAGCCACCAAAGCCAACGGGCCTGGCCTGACGGTCACAGGTTCTGGGCACTGAAATCACTGGGGGCTGGGTACGTCCAGCACATCTGGTAGCCAGGAGGGGATCCCACTTGAGAGGAAACTTTTTTGCTGGCTTAAGTTCACACACAAGGGCCCCCCACAGCCTAGGCCCCCTCCTGGTGGGTCCAGATTCTGCTCTCCCATTGGGGTAAATCTGGAGATACTCTGGAACTGTGGCCAATGGGAGCTGTGGAGGCGGCGCCTGCAGGTGGTGGCAGTGCGCGGAGCCCCCAGCCCCACCCCCCATTAGCCGCAAGGACCTGCCGGCTACTTTCGGGAGCAGCGCGGGGCCAGGGTAGGCAGAGAGCCTGCCTTAGCCCTGTTTCCCTGCTGACTGGGAGCCGCCCGAGGGAAGAGCCACCCAGCTGGAGCCTGCACCGTTTACCCCCTCCCGCACCCCAACCCCTTTCCCCAGCCCTGAGCCCACTCCCTCACCCAAACTCCCTCCCAGAGCCTGCACCCCTCAGCCCCACCTTCACCCGACCCCTTCCCCAGGCTCAGCCTGGAGCCTGAACCCCCTCCCACACCCCAAACCCCTAGCACAGCTTGGTGAAAGTGAGCGAGGGGGGGAGAGATCGAGCGGCGGAGGGAGAGGGTTGGAGTGGGCAGGGGGGGCCTCAGAGAAGGGGCAGGGAAGGGTGTTTGGGATTGTGTGATTGGACAGTTGGCAACCCTAGGGAAGAGATGCCCGGCCCCTGGTGGCGCTGCTCACCCACTCCCCGGCCTGGCTCTGGCATGGATCAGTCTCACCCCGGCCTGCTCCTGAGACAACCGGAAACACCTCAGTGGACGGACAGGCTGGGCTAGGGAAAGGTGAGTGCCCCAGACCAGTTCCCAGCTCGCTGCCCCCTCAGGCAAGACCTCCGCCTGTGTAGCCCCAGATCCTGCTCAGCCCCCCAGGTGCCCCCTCCATGTCCACAACAGCAGGACCCACCTTTGCACACAGTCGTGTTCACATTGGAAGGGACGTAGCCGGCCCGGCACTCACACCGGTAGCTCCCGTTGGTGTTGATACACGTGGCCCTGGGGCCGCAGATATCTGGGGATTTGCGGCACTCGTCCATGTCTGAGAGGGGAAAGCGGGGTTGTGTGTCACACACAGCATGGCTGCGGGTGCATGACATGGAGACCCCGATTTTAGGGGGCTTGGTCTGTCGGTCAGTCTGTCTGCTCCATCTAACCCCTCCCCCATTCAATTCTGCTTTGTTCCCTGCTATTTGGTGGTGATCCTTCCTGAGGAAGTAGGGGCAGGGCCACAGAAGAAAGCTAAGTTCTCCCTGATATTTATCCATAACGCTTTTGCTTCTCACACAAATCCTTGTGGCTAAAATCCCCTTCACCTGGACATCAGCAAACAAGTCAATCAGCGGGAGAGTCAATAGTGCTCACGGATCCTTCCCTTGGGCCGTGCTCCAGCAGCTCTGTCTCAGACTCCCCTTCTCTTGACAGCGTTTTGCTATTTCCCGCTACGCCTCTTCTCCTCAGTCATTATTTGCATTAAGGCGGCACCCACAGTGCCGCACACACACTGCCATAAAGAGCTTCTAGTCTAAATGGACAAGGGGGGGGGTCTCAGCAGGTAGGGGACAGGAAGAGCTCACCCTGGCAGGTCTTCTCACTCGCGTGTGTGAAGTTGGCTTTCCCAGAGCTGGGCTCGTAGCCATCAATGCAGGTGCAGGAGTAACTCCCAGCCACGTTGGCGCAGTTTGCGTGGGGTCCGCAGTCTGCTGGGCTCGGGCCCTGACACTCGTCAATATCTGCAACACAAGAGGGGATGTTCTGGACAGTCCTGACAGGGAGACGTTCCTGTATCACCCACCTGTACTGAGCTGGGTGATGGGACCCATACGACCGGGCCCCTAACAGCTTAACAATCACAGGCCTGACTCTCAGCTACGCTCAGGCGGCACTAGGCTGCTCTGGCATCAGAACGGCCACTCGACAATCCCCCACCCTGCAAAAGGGGCCACCCCAGCTGGTGTGGAGCTGCTGTAGGGGTCCTGTCCCCATTATGCTCCTAGCGCCTGATGTACGGGCCGAGGACGGGGTGCCCAGCACTGCAGCTATTCCCTTCCTGCCAGGGCCCATGGGGGAGGATTGGTGCCGGGCTGGAGCGTGCTGTGATATTCTCTCCTCAAAACGGCCCATAGGGGGCAGAGCGCACTGTGCTATTTCCATGGCAAATACATGAAGCCCCTTCCCAGGCTCAGGGGGACACTAGCAGCCCAGAATTTGCCTGCTGGGGCCAGGCAGGGTCCACCTCCCCTCTCCCCAGTGCATCACTGCAGCACAAGGAGTTTGCTCCGTGGGTTTGTTTATTCCCCATCCAAGCGCCAGGCACAGGGGTGAGCCCAGCCAGATGTTCTGCGGGAGAAGACGAGGGTCACGTCTCATCACAGCTTCGCTGACGGCCTCGGGCCACCGCCAAAGCCGGCAGCAGCCCCGGTGCAGTGCCAGGCCTGGAACGAGCATTTGTGTGTGCGAGGGGGGGGGTCTCAGGAGGTGGGGGTAAGGGGAGAGCTCACCCTGGCAGGTGTTCTCACTCGCGTGAGTGAAGTTGGTTTTCCCAGTGCTGGACTCGTAGCCATCAATGCAGCTGCAGGAATAATTCCCAGGCACATTGGTGCACTTTGCGTGGGGTCCACAGTCTGCCAGGCTTGCGCGCTGACACTCGTCAATATCTGTAGCACAAGAGGGGATGTTCTATACAGTCCTGCCAGGGAGACGTTCTCCGTATCACATGCCCCAGCCCCCGCACTGAGTTGAGTGATGGGACCGAGGAGACTGGGCCCCTGGCAGCTTAACAATTACAAAACTAATTCTCAGCTTAACTCAGGCAGCACTAGGCTTTTCTGGCAGGAGAATGGCCACTGGAGAAACCCCGACCATGCAAAAGGGGCCACCGCAGTTGGTGTGGAGCTGCTATAGGTGTCCTGCACCCACCCTACTCCCAGCCCCTGATGTAGGGGCTGAGGTCGGGGTGCCCAGCACTGCAGCTATTCCCTGCCCCTCAGGACCCATGGGGGAGGATCGGGGTGTGGCTGGGGCACACTGTGCTGTGGCTATTCTCTCCTCCCCAGGGCCCATAGGGGGCAGAGCGCACTGTGCTATTTCCATGGCTCAGACACAAGGCCCCTTCCCAGGCTCAGAGGGACACTAAAAGCCCAGATGCTGCATGCTGGGGCCAGCGAGGGGCTACTCCCTTCTCCCCAGCGCATCACTGCAGTCCAAGGAGTTTACTCTGTGGGTCTGTTTATTCCCCATCCAAGTGCCAGACACAGGGGTGAGCCCGGCCCCATACTCTGCAGGAGCAGGCGAGGGTCACGTCTCATCACAGCCTCGCTGACGGACTCGGGCCACTGCCAAAGACACAAGCAGCCCCGGTGCAGCACCAGGCCTGGAACGAGCATTTGTGTGTGCGAGGGGGGGTCTCAGCAGGTGGAACCAGAGGAGAGCTCACCCTGGCAGGTGTTCTCACTCGCGTGCGTGAAATTGGCTTTCCCAGAGCTGGGCTCATAGCCATCGATGCAGGTGCAGGAGTAATTCCCAGGCACATTGGTGCACTTTGCATGGGGTCCGCAGTCTGCCGGATTCGGGCCCTGACACTCGTCAATATCTGCAACACAAGAGGGGACGCTCTGTACAGTCCTGGCAGGGAGATGTTCCTGTATCACCCACCTGTACTGAGCTGGGTGATGGGACCCAGGTGACTGGGCCCCTAGCTGCGTAACAATCACAGGCCTGATTGTTACACTCAGGTGGCACTAGGCTGCTCTGGCTGCGGAACGGCCACTTGAGAACCCCCCACCCTGCAAAAGGGGCCACCCCAGCTGGTGTAGAACTGCTGTAGGGGTCCTTCACCCATCCTGCTCCTAGCCCCTGATGTAGGGCCGAGGCCGGGATGCCCAGTACTTCAGCTATTCCCTGTCCCCTCAGGACCCATGGGGGAAGATCGGGGGCATGGCTGGGGCGCACTGTGCTGTGGCTATTCTTGCCTCACCAGGGTCAATAGGAGCAGAGCACACTGTGCTATTTCCATGCTTCATACACGAGGCCCCTTCCCAGGTTCAGGGGACACTAGCAGCCCAGATCCTGTGTTCTGGGGCCAGCGAGGATCCCTGCCCATCTGCCCAGCGCATCACTTGCAGCACAAGGAGTTTGCTGCATGCGTCTGTTTATTGCCCATATAAGCGCCGGGCACAGGGGTGAGCCCGGCCCCATGCTCTGCGGGAGCAGGGTAGGTTCACATCTCATCACAGCCTCGCTGGCGGCCTCAGGCCACTGCCAAAGCCGGCAGCAGCCCCGGTGTGGTGCCAGGCCTAGAACGAGCATTTGTGTGTGCGAGGGGGGGTCTCAGCAGGTGGGGGCCAGGGGAGAGCTCACCCTGGCAGGTGTTCTCACTCGCATGCGTGAAGTTGGCTTTCCCAGAGCTGGGCTCGTAGCCATCGATGCAGGTGCAGGAGTAATTCCCAGGCACATTGGTGCAGTTTGCGTGGGGTCCGCAGTCTGCCGGGCCCTGACACTCGTCAATATCTGCAACACAAGAGGGGACGCTCTGTACAGTCCTGCCAGAGAGACGTTCCTGTATCAAATGCCCCAGCCCCTGCACTGAGCTGGGTGATGGGACCAAGGAGACCGGGCCCCTGGCAGCTTAACAATTACAAGACTAATTCTCAGCTGCACTCAGGCGGCACTAGGCTACTCTGGCAGCGGAACGGCCACTGGAGAAACCCACACCCTGCAAAAGGGGCCACCCCAGCTGGTGTGGAGCTGCTGTAGGGGTTCTGCACCCATGTAGGGGCTGAGGTCGGGGTGCCCAGCACTGCAGCTATTCCCTGCCCCCGAGGACCAAAAGGGGGAAGCTTTGGGGTGTCATAATGCTGCAATGTACTTCAGATATTTCCTGCCCTCCAGGACCCAAAGCGGGAAGATTAGGGGCATGGCTGGGACACACTGTGCTGTGGCTATTCTCTCCTCCCCAGGGCCCATAGGGGGCAGAGCGCACTGTGCTATTTCCATGGCCCAGACACAAGGCCCCATCCCAGGCTCAGGGGGACACTAACAACCCAGATGCTGCGTGCTGGGGCCAGTGAGGGTCCCCTCCTCTCTCCCCAGCGCATCACTGCAGCCCAAGGAGTTTATTCTGT